GCTAGACATTATGTCTCCACACTGCATCAAACGCACACACATCACCTATACATCCATTGAACTACAGTATCATTCATTAAAGCCTCACAATAACAGACGCAGCGTCTCTCTGTGCTTAGAGAGATCTGTGAAGGTGGGTATTGCAATAATAGGGCAGCTGTTTTGACTTTAGAATGTGTGTGTGTGTGTGTGTGTGTGTCTACACGTCTGGATATGGATTAACTTAATAGTGTGTGTGAACAGAGAAGTGTCTTTTAAGAAGGATTTTAAATTGTCTGGCTCCAAAACGCAGTATTACGGTCAGTCTTTTACGCAAAACCCAATTATTACCTGACCACATAATAATGTAGTGTTACGACGTAAATCACTGTCTGTACGATAAATAATTTCGTGATTTCATGATCACAAATGTGTCACGGTCTTTGAGAAAACAGAAAATGTTTCATATGATGTATATCCAACAACACAAATATAACTGCAAAACCATATATTATTCATCTACAACAAATATAATGATAAATACATGTAAATCCATTATCCACCCCTTCACTATTCTTAGCATAATTTATAGAGGAAGACAAAAATGCTTTCAAGACCAGTCCGTGAATGTAAAACAACAATGAATTGCAATAAACATGTACCCATATTCAATTGGTTTGGACCAAATTCAATGATTGGACAAACATTTTTTGATCCTAAGACTTTCACAAGAGGAGATACATTGGGCCTATACTTTTTATATTTAGACCACTTCTATTTTTGATTGCTATCAGGATATGAAGAGAGTTTCAACCATTGGTCCATCAACCATTTTCTGATAGGCCCTTCCTTATCAGAGCATGCTACAAAAGTCCTTGTCCAAACTCTATCCAGACTGGACTATTGCAATGCTCTCCTGGCTGGTCTTACAGTTTGCACTGTAAAACCTGATCCAAAATGCTGCAGCTAGAGTGGTCTTTAACGAGCCGAAGAGAGCACGTCACTCCTCTCCTCACAAAACTGCACTGGTTGCCAGTTTCTGCTCTCATCACTGATTTTTGCCTACAGAACAACAGCCTCTCTACTTCAGACTTATACGTGCCATCCATAAACTTGTGCTCTGCAAGTGAACGCCGTCTTGTGGTGCATAATCTCAAAGAGGTACAAAATCTCTTTCTCTGACCTTCACCTGGACTGTTCCACGCTGGTGGAATGACCTGCCCAACTCAACCATAGCTGCTGAGTCCGTGGCAATTTTCAACAAACGGCTGAAAACGCATCTTTTATGGCAACACCTGATCCATAATACTAACTTTATCTTCTATATCTATTATCTTCAAAAAAAAAAAGTAGGCCTTCATGTACGGTGTTAGACTAAACTGGGAAGGGTCATTGGGAAGCACTTGCATTATTGGTGTCCTATAAGTTTAACTGCTTATTTTGTTCTCTTTTGAAAGTCGCTTTGGATAAAAGCGTCTGTTAAATGAATAAATGTAAAATGTAAATGTAAAATTATTTTTTTAAATGTATTAAAAACATTGCCAATGTTACACCAACCAACCAAACTTTTAAAACACACGTTAAAATATTCATGCTGTGCTTTGATATGATGCCTTTAACTGATTGCAAGTTTATTGGCAGCATGATATTAAAGGGATACTCCACTTTTTTTTTGGAAATAGGCTCATTTTAAAACTCCCCCAGAGTTAAACTGTTGAGTTTCATCGTTTTCAAATCCATTCAGCCGATTTTCTGATATTTAGAAGAATATCATTAACCAGACAGTTTCTGGTCTCATTGACTTCCATAGTAGGCCTATATTTTTTTTTCCTACTATGGAAGTCAATGAGACCAGAAACTGTCTGATTATTGATATTCTTCTAAATATCAGAAAATCAGCTGAATGCATTTGAAAACGGTGAAACTCAACTGTTTAACTCTGGGGGAGTTTTAAAATAAGCCTATTTCCAAAAAAGTATCCCTTCAAGTCATTTTGACATTTTCTTTAAATTGATTTCTAATAGATTACACACAGGCTAATAAATTCCTCAAACATGATCCACATAATGAAGGGTCCCATTGTAGCTCTGTTGTCAATTTCAGCCATAGCTGTTAGGAATAAATCAGAAAAAATAAAATTAAATAAAAAAGTTTTAAAATTATTTTATCATGCCTGGAGCTGTTAGATGTCCTGTATTTTGTCAAATAAGATCACACTCGATATCTCATCTTATATTCATCTTATTAAAATCTTAATTTAGCACATACGGTATATCAGTCTGTACAGTATCCCAGGACAGCTGTTAGAAAGAGCAAGTCTCTGGTGGCTAATTCTAATGATCTTTGAGCAGAAATCTTTCATTGTGCTTCTATTTTTCTCTTTGATGGTGACCCATTTTCTGAGAACTGAGTAAAAGATATAAGGATGTATGTGTGTTTTCTATGTACACAGTTTGGGATTTTACAAGACCATCATTTGGGAGGTCTCACGCACATGTGCCCTTTTGGAATTAATTAAGAAAATTCTTGATAATTAGTCTTTAATTGCCCTGTTTTGCACACTGCTCTTCTACAGGGACTTTTCTGCAGTTTAATTGGCCTGGCTTTAACAAGCTTTCTCTCATCATTAACCCCTCATGGGTTTAACGATCACTGGGCCTTATTTGAATATGAAAAGATGGCAATTTATGCAGATTTCTTCACTAAGAACCTTACAAAAGATGAGTGATCATATTTCGAATTATATATATAATACATACAATTATAATATATCATATATATATATATATTCTAATATGTATATTAGAAGAGAGAGAGAGAGAGAGAGAGAGAGAGAGAGAGAGAGAGAGAGAGAGACAACGATGGACTCTATTCCTCCATTTGACCAGCAGGTGTAGCTGTACACAAACAAAAAATTGTATTATTCCTTTCAATTTGCCACCTGCTGCAACATCCTTTTTTTTTCAATGTTTTCAAATTTTTTGATGCCGAGGAGCCACAAATATATTTTCTATATTTTGTAAAAAATATACAATTTATAGGATGTGAATGTCACAAAGATATCCCACCAAATACATATATTTTTGAATAATTCTCGAGTGTCCATGACGGAGGCTAAGTCTGGTATGGTTTTCCTTAGACAAAATAGAACTCTTTTCTTCCAGCAGGATTCTCTACCACAAACTCAGATCAAAGCAGGAGTATGATTGATTTATGGGGGTATCATGCTCCAATATAAACTATTTTTAATGCCCTCCTATTCCCTTCATATCATGTGTTTCATGTATGTGAGTGAGAGAGAGAGAGATATTTTGTAACTGGTGTGCCTCGGAAAAGAGATTTCAGTATCCATGGATTTCCCGGTTAAATAGCTAAAGGTTAAATAAAATATATCAAATAAAAAGAGTGTTACCATCTGTGTTTCAGAGTGTCATGTCAATCCAATTGTATTTGCATAGAGCTTTTTATATGCATTTTAAAGAGCAGCTTCAAATTCATAATGTAAAGTTTATAATACCCTAATGCCTAGTACACATTTATCAGTTAGAGGTAAAATATTGATCAAATATTGTGTGAGTGCTGCAATGTTGTGCTGTAATCTAAGAATGCTGACTGCACAAAGGTTTGGTATGACCCCTGGTCCTCCATGCTTATTACACACCCTGAATAATAGTATTTAAACCCTATAAAATAAGCCTTTGACTTCAAGTCATGATGCAATGGTCACCTTTGGTATGAAAGTACCCAGGGTCATATAAATCCTAAGACACAAGTGAGATCACACTTTGCATCAGAAATAAACATGTTGGTTTTTTTTTTTTTTTTCAAAAATGGCCGCCACCGAAAAAACTCTAGAGCCCATTTCTTTGCTTCTCTTATCGCTATAATGACAAATTTGGTGTCAAAGTATACATTTGTGGGATCAAGGAATCCAATAAAACTGGGTTCAAGTTAAAATAATAATAATAATAATAACTTTCCCCATCCCATGACAATTTGGGGGGTAATATGCATCATCAAGAGTGACTTTACTTTAAAGGGGGGGGGGGACCCGAGAAAGCCGCAAAGAAGAGAGTCCAGGGTTCCAGGGCTCCAGAGCTGTGACACAGTTCTGAGTTACCTTGAGACGTAAACGACCGGATGCCCATGCTCGCCGCGGGACCTGCATCTTCAGCCAGTGCTGTAAAGGGCACATGCGAAGCAGACCTAAACGAAGAAATTAAGTTGTGAAGACTGTGTTTGGCATGCATTTTTTTTTATAAAAAAAAAAATTGTTTACTTCACCTCCAATTGTCATGGTAAGGACAACATTCTTGTTTTTTAGTCTTGGAACCTAATTTATTGGACTTCTTGACCACAAAAATGTACACGTTGATACCAAATGTGTCATTATAGCTAATATCTATAAAAGAAGCAAAGATATGGGCCTCTCAAGTAAGGTCAGAGGCCATTTTTTTTAAAATGTGTGTATACTAGATACAAAATGTGATCTCACTTTTGTCTTAGGATAAATTTATTCCTATGGCCCTAAGGTACTTCCATAGTACCAAAGGGTACCTTTGCATAATGTCTTGAAGTCAAGTCACTTAACCTACCCACTATAAAGCAGACCACAGCCAGTGTGCAGGTGGATGTGCTGTATCGAAGAAAGGTTTAAATGTCTACAAAGCGATTCATATTGTACTACTACTGCGAAAAACCCAGTATATCCCAGGATTTCTTAATCTCTGACCTCTTACACACACACATCTGTCTTTTGAGATGGAAAACAATACAAATATGATATAAGGGGTCAAAGGTCAAATGACATGTCATAGGAAGCAGAGAGCTTTCTTTACTTTGTAAAAGTTACTTAAAGCTTCAAATGTTACTATTTCCTAATGATTAATTGCTTGATAGTAGTCCTGATTTGTAAATCAATTCAAATAAAAGTATCTGCAAAAATAACATGCAAATAATATTCTGCAAAATCAAGGGAGATAATTCTGACAATGGTTACATTTATTTAAAGGTTCTTTTACAAAAGATTTACAAACAATTTCTCAGTTTGTATAAAAAAGTAATTTATTGTTCAAAACACATTCAACGCACATTGGAAGTTAAACCTAAATCAACTATTTTAAAAGTCGTTTTCAAACAAATGTTAAACTGAAATCTAGAGCGGAATTTACTGCATCTAAAACTTAAATCTCAAAGAAAACAGGAAGAAAAGAAACAGACCATCCCCGAGTAGGACCGTTTTTAATTAAGTTCCATAACAATGTCTTTAAAAAGAAAAAAAAAAAAAAAAGGCTAAATTATGTGAATGAAGTTTTGTTTTATTTTTTTAAGATTAATGCAATTAACAGCATTTAAAATATGCTTTAAGAATGATGAATGAGAACAGTGATTTCTCTTGACTTCGGATGACTTCTTGGCCTCGAATCCATTCACGAATCTATCACTGTTAGTACAGATTATATTTACTTATTGTGCTTAGGAAGATCACAAATAGTCACCAATGAGTCATTTCCCCAATCCCGAAATGAAAACCCAGGGTAGACTGGTTGAGAAAAAGTGGTCTGGATTCTGTGTAAGAGGGTCATTTTATCACTTGAGACATTGTAACAGGACACGGTTCCTGCAACTTGATCGAGAAACACTCCAATTGTAGAGACCAAGCTAATGTTAGTCTGAAGGCTATTGTGGTTGACACAAATTTTAGCTGCTGGAAAGTCACATTTCCAGGATCTGTTGTTGGAGCCAAATATAACAGATCCTCCCTGACTAATGTTGTCATATGAAAACGCAATAGAACCACCAGTTCCTCCAAACTGAACTTCAAAATAAGAGCGCCCAGACAGATAGTCTTGACACAACACCTGGTATGTGGCTGTAGCTTCATAGTATGAACGTCCATAGTATGGGTCAGAGTATTTCTTTTCACGCCTTGACACAGACTTGCTCAGTACAGAGAGCTGCTTACAGGCTGATGAGCTATTCAGAATCAGTTCAGAGGAATCTATTGATAAAATAAAAATTAAACAGATGTAATTTTTTACCACACTCCTGACATTTACAAACAGCTACGGTGCAACTCACACATAAGGAACTCTTCTCTGGTCTTGGGCAGAGATGGCAAATCTAAACAAATAAAAAAACATGAAGAATATTTGAGAGTATTTGAGAATATTTGAATATTTTTAAAATGTGAAAAATAAGTTGACTTACACTCTGTGATCTTCGTATTATTCATCGTTATATGGACAGTAGGAACTATTAAGATATGCAAAAAAAAAAAAAAAAAAAAAAAAAAAAAAAAAAAAAACATTTCATGATTATGACAACCAGCCATCATATTCTCTAAAATTTGTTTTGGTGGAAATTATAACCAATACTTCAAATCTGCCTAATTTTGACAACAGAAAATTAAACTTTAAAAAATTAAACTTTGGAATTAAAATCCAGTTAAAGATAATAATGGGCTCTATGCACGGCAGTATTTCCGGTGAAGTTCTAAAGATGCTGGATTACTTCCGCCAATCGTAAAGTCCAATGCTAAACCGAGAATTTATATATGACTATACTAAAGAAACATTAGTCACAAAAACAGACACCCCTCGTTTTGTTCATGCTTCTTTGTATATTATATTAAATAAACATAACTATATATAAAATTACATCTAAACGTATTAAAGTTGTTTCAAAGACAGGAGGACAGTAAATTCTGAAGACTCTGCCATAATTCCATTTTCCTCAATTTACCTCTGCTTTAAATCGCCCCAACCAGAAACTGAAGAGCAGCCTTGCATCAAATACAGAACTTATGTGTGCATATAGCCCATTAGATTTTATTTAAACACCTTTAGAAGCCATCTCACCTTTCTCTGATATCCGAACAATATCTTGTTCACAGAGATCATCCAGTTGATTTTTCAGCTGACAGATTACCATTTCTATCTCCTTGAATGTCAAATGTTGTCTGACGGAGATGTTGCACAAATTTGAACACTGGTAGTCGGAAAGAGAGGAGAAATTCTGCAATGGAAAAAGTAGCAATAAATAAAACATTTCAAGCAATGACTTTTGATGCAAACCAGAGTCTGTTTATTGTCAGAGTTGATACCTGAATGAAATAGATGTCATCCTCCACCTCAGAAAGTTGCCCCAGTTCATCACGCCTTCTCTTCAGGTCACTGATCTCTTGCTCCAGTGTTAGTATGAGTTCCTCAACACTGCTTACTTCTGCCTTCTCCTGAGCTCTGATCACCTCTGTTACCTTAGCTTGTCTTTTCTTCATGGAGCTTATCTGACCAGTAAATACCTTCTCACTGAGCTGCACTGCTGCCAGTGCAGAGAACTGTAAGATAACAGAGGAAAAACTTTAGGCTGTAAGAAATACCCATTGATTGAGCTCTGACTGACTGCAACCCCTAGACCAGTGTTTCCCAACCCTGCTCTTTGAGGCACACCAACAGTGCACATTTGGGATGGATCCCTTTTCTGACACACATTTCTGGTCTTGGAGTCTCTACTAACAAGCTGATGAGTCGATTCAGGTGTGATAGATTAAGAAGAGTTGGAGTTGGAAAATGTGTAGTGTTGGTGTGTCCCCGGGAACAGGGTTGGGAGACACTGCCCTAGAATGTCAGCTCTGAAATTACACCTAAACAATAAAATTGACAGCAAAAAAAACAACAAAAAAAACACATAGTGTTACAATAGACTATATTATAGATAAGCTGTAAATGCACCCATCTTAAATGCTAATCTTTTATTTTGTGGTAAAATTAAAGATGTTATAATACAATGTACTTACCTTATGAGAATTCACGGCCAGTCTTAATTCCTGTACCTTTGTTTCTCGCTGCTGCATTGCCATTTGTAGGGTATCCAAATTTTTTCTTCAACCGTCCTGTGACTGAATTAATAATAGTCTGGAATTAAGCTTCTGTAA